GCTTCTTCTTTCACAAAGCATTTTCCCCAATGTGATCTCACTTGCTCCCCTCTGACTAAGCTGAGATGCAGCTGCGTCGGTCCTCCTTGTAAAGATGAGGACACAGTCTCAGAGAGGCTGAGCCCCTCTCCCAAGGTAACACAGCTCACCGCAGCCGAACAAGAAAGATTTCAAACCCTGGACCCGGAACAGAATGCCAACCCCCTTTCAAAGGAATGGAAGATGAGATACAACTAAAGGCATGTTTCTGCTCAGGCCCTCCCCTGGCCTCTCCTTGAAGAGCCCAGAGGTGGGACAGGATGCTGCCCTAGGGCCCATGGCCAAGGGCACATTGGGGGGAAGTGACCTCGCTGCCTTTTTGTCCTGGAGCTCCATCTCCTCTTTCCTCGGCAGCTTTGATGAAGCCTCAGCCGGGGGGCCTGGAGGACAGGGCGGATGGCAGGAGGGTGGGACTCTGCCCTCACCTTGTGGGAGCTGAGCCTCGTGCCTCCTGTCAGCTGCCCTTCACCGCTCCCCACTTCAGCCTCCAAGGCAGAGACCACGTGGGTGAGTTGCCATGGAAACTGCGGAGTTCTTTTTGAGAGCAGTGCTGGGTGTAATCTGAGATGGCTGGGGGAAGGGTGCTGGGGCCAGGATACATAGGTGGGGCAACTCCACCTATTTGGCTACCTTCCCCCTAGCTCACCTCTTTCCACCAGAAACCATCTATTTCAAGGCCTCACTGCCCTTCTTTCCCAAAAGAGACCCTCCTCCTGTCGTCGTCATGCCCTCTATCCCACGCCTGTTGGTGATTACAGGCTACTGCCCCGCAGGCCCTGTCCGGATTCCCCAGAGAAGGAGCGATTATCCCTGTTATACAACAGAGAGTGGCAAAAAACCAAGAGAGATGATTTTTACCATCCGGGGGTCAGGATGTTACCGCAGGGATTATCTGGATTATAGGGTGTGTGTGGGGGAAGGAGGGGGAACCTCGGGGACATGGTGCTCCAGAGATGGGAAACTGGACCCCACCCCTCTGCTCCCCACTGTGGTTCAACAGCAAGAGTTCAGGCAGGCTGACCTAGGAAACAGGAAAGCTCCAAGTCTGACCGGGGGATGAGAGCTGGGTTTGCATTGGGCTCAGTCAGAATTTCCCCGTAGCCAGAGCCAGACCCTTGCTGTCCCCCTGCTCTTGCCTGATTTAGGCTCTGTGTTTGGTCTTGTGTGCTGTCACTCTTGCTATGTCCCCCACCTCCGCCCCCACCCCAACTGAGAGAAGAGGAGATAAGAATTTTGCTTGTCCACTTTGCTGTGTGACCTGGGGTAAATTGCCTAGCTTTGCTGAGCCTCAACTGCTTCTTCCGTGAAACAGGGATAAGAAAATAACTGCCTCATAGGGTCGTTGGGGATTGAAAGAGACAATACATTCAAAGTGCTTAGCGTAGCGCCTGGTATCAACAAAAACAGAAATATGATTACTATTACTATCTATCCTTCCACACCCAGAACGAGCTCCATCTCCTCCAGGAAGCCTTCCTTTCTCTAAGGAGGGAGGAACTAGGGATTAGGAGCAGCCACCATGCCAGGCACTTCCTGTGCACTTTTTCATTGCATTCTTGCAACAGCCCTGGCAGGGAGGTGCTCTTCTTATTATCCCCACTCTACAGAAGTGGACTCTGAAGTGCAGTGAGTGTCTTGCTCAAGTTCATTGGCTAATAAGAAACGGAGTCAAGATTCAAGTTCACCCTGTCTGGTTTCAAAGCCTTGCACTTTGTTTTTTACCACAATGTGCACCTCATCCGTGGAACAATCCTCCCCCAGCCACTTTCCTTCTGATTGAAAGCAGTTTATTATTGCTTCTGATTTCTTTCTTGCCTTTCTCACCTGGCCTACCTGCACCAGGGCAGAGAGTAAGGAGGTAAGCGGAACCAGGGAGGGTCAGGACTCTGACAGTCCCTGCTGCATTGGGAGCTTAGGCAGGAAGGAGCTGGAAGCAGGTGGCCTGGCATAGGAGATCTCCAGATAGGGAGCCAGCGCCAGTGCTGGTAGGGGTTGTCTAGACTCGGAAACAAACTCTCCCCAACTCATTCTGATTTTCTGCTCAGCTCTGACCTTGGTCTCTGGTCCCCAGTCTTCCAGACCAGGGCTGGTAAGGGCTTGCTCTGTAGATGACCTTGACCTGGCTTTGTCAGTCTGGGGACTTGAAGTGTCTCCTTCAGGTGAAGAGGAGACAGAGAGGTTGGGGGAGGTGGAGGAGAAGGGGCGGAGGAAGGAGAGACGGGAGGGAGGGAATGGAGGGGGGAGGGAAGGGAGGAGAAGGGGCGGAGGAAGGAGAGACGGGAGGGAGGGAATGGAGGGGGGAGGGAAGGACACCAGGGAGGGGAGGGGAGGGAGGTGGGAGGGGAGACTGCCAAGTGTGATTCTGAGCTCTGAGGGAGAAGAAAGGATGAGAAAGCAAGAAATACGCTTCAAGGGCAGGATGAAAGGGGGAGGGAACTGAGGTCGGTGGGAGAATGAGAGAAAGGAGGAGACCAAGAAAGTGAATGAGGGAGAGCGAGCAGGGGAGAGGAAATGGCAGGGTGGGAGAGGCTGAGGGAGAGAGAACGAGGAACAAAGACAGGGCTGAGCAGCTGCCTCGTCCTCCCTCCCGCCAAGCGAAGGCCTTAGAGGGCCGCAGAGACTGAATGAGCCGGGAGCCAGCCATGACTCAGTCTCCGTGGCTCCTGCCCGCCAAATCTTGCCTGGCTCAGCAGTTTCCACGGGGAAGGGGGCACGTCCTCCACCACACACCCCCTTCTCTGGTACAGCATCTTCTCTGAGGCCCCATGAAACCCCCACCTCCCAGGTCTTGGTAGCTGGTGCCTGCCCTCAGAGTTCTCCCAGGTGCGCTGTCCTGGACAACCTTTCTAGAACCTTCCAAAGAGGTGGAAACCAGCCACTGTTCTGGGAGGCTGGGGTAGGGTGGGAGCGGGTGTATATATAGCCCAAGGAAATCCCCTTCCTTTCACTGCTGAAGCCTGGTACCTTTCTAAGGAGGCAGGGCCCAGGAATGGCTCCACCTTAATAAAAGTGTATTGAGAGCTTAGCAGGAACTAAGCAGGTTGTACTTTATCCCACTCAATCCTCACAGCACCCTTGAGAGGTCTGCACTATTATCTGTTTCCATTTTCCAGAAGGGGAATGAGAGCTAAGGAGGCCCAGCTCACGTAGCTAACAAGAGGAGGAGGAGGAGTCTTGGCATCTAACTGGTGGGGACAGAGGTCATGGCCCTGCTGGGGCCTGGAGAGGACTGGTAGGGGATTGGTAGCTCTGAGGGCCCACGGAGAAGCTAATGTCTGTGATGGTTTGGGCAGGTCTCAGAAGTGTTTGTGCCTCAGTTTCCCCATCCAACATTACTGTTGGCTGTAGGAATGTGCGGGATGAGAAGCTGACCAGAGGAGCCAGGACGCAGAGCCAGTGAGGCACTCCTTGAGGGTGATACCCATTTGTAGGGACGAAGACCTAGGTGCCTGGAAAGAACTGTGTAAATAGTGTTCCTCTCTTACCAGCCTCACGGGCATCTCCGGGGAAGGCCAGGTGGGTGCTCATAAGGCCCTGCTTTCACGGGGCTCCCATGAACCTCTTTCTAAAATGCTTTCACATTTGGGTAAACACACACACACACCCCATTCCTATCTTCACAGCCACCCTCCATGGCACATAAGGTTCACTGGCTTTATTTTATCTGGCTGGAGGAAGCTAAGGTGACACAGTTGGCAGCAGGGACAGAGGACATCATCTGGATGCATGGGCGGTAACATGGAGCTTCTGCCCTCAAGGTACCTTGTGGCTCTCAGGGAAGTAGCAGGCACTCGGCACCCACTCTGCACCCAGGCCTCAGTCCACCCCCACCCCCACAATACCCAGGGGGCGTCCTGCAGATGCTGTGGATGCCGATCCCTCCCTTGGCACCACCTGGCAGCCTCGTCATGCCCTCTTCAGCCTGAGTGAGGAGCTGTGCCTGCTTCCTGCCTGCCCCAGGGCCCTGGTGGATTCTCCCATCCCCTTCAGTCAGGCTCCACGTTAGACAAGGACCTCCCCTCCCCCTTTCGTCCCCCCCCCCACATGGTCGTCCCTTTCCCCAGGGACCAGGGGATGCAGCAGCTTTGGTAGCCTGTGGTTGCCATGGCGGCCCTCACTTGGGTTTTGGTGGCAGCAGTGGGAGGGGGATGTCAGGGAGGGTGTGTGTGTGCACGCGTGTTTCCATTTTCCGCCCCAGGTGAGGGGGGCTCAAGGAGTGGGATCCCATCGTTCTAGGGTGGGGTCAACTCCCCCCAGCTCAGTCCCAGAGGCAGGAAAGATTGTAAGACAGACAGAAGGACACTGGACTGAAGCAAGATGCCCCAGAAGGAAAACTGGAGGGGGAGGGTGGAGATGGGCTTCAGCACAGTTGTCAAAGGAAGCAGGCCCGGATGTGGGGTGGGAGCTGCAGGAAGGAGGGAGCCAGGCGGCAGAGCCAGCCCAGTGAAGGATCCAGAGCCACCGAGGGGGGACCCGGGAAGGGGTGGGCCCCTTATTTCTGCCATCCCCCCTCCCCAGGTCTCCCGCTGCGCTTCCCCAGCGGAGAGAAGGCCCCTCTGCTCCTCCAACATGATCTGTAATTTCCGGCAGACATTTGAGGTCCCTGACATCTGCATAATGTGGGCCAGTCTCTTAGCAACGGGGAACAGCTGTCTGGCATTTCCAAGATTAAACTGTAACTATACACGGTCCTTGCCAGGGGGAGGGGGAGGGGAAGGGGGTAAACACTGCCTCCTGGCATTTTCAAACTCATTTAGCTTTTATTCATTTCCTGCCTCCAGTAAAGAGGCCAGGGATGCGGGCTGGGCCAGGCTGTTACTGCCCCTGCCTCGCGGCTGCTGAGATGGCAGATTGCTCTTCACCCAGATCTGTTGGCTCGCAGGAAGGGAGAGGGAGAGCGGACAGTGCTGGCCCTTCTTGTTTTTTATTGTATTTATTTTTTTTCTAGGTGCGGCGGACCTGGCGCGCACCTCACAAGTGCGGCTCAGGAAGAAGGGCTGTGTGGTCTGAGGTTCAAGCCCCCAGGCAGCTCTAGCCTGGTTTAATTCCATCTAGCTCCATTGCTAATGGCTGTGTGACCTTAGGCCAGACCCCTTCACCTGTCTCACCTCCATGTCCCCATCTGTAAGAGGGGATAATTCTATCGCCCCGAGGGGTGCTGTGAAGATAAAGTAAGCACTCAGGTAATAGAACCAGGATTAATAATCCTCTGTTCCTCCGATCCCCCTCGGGCCCGGTCGTGTGTGTTAGCAACCTGGGGCTCTGCCATCGGGACAAAGGCAGGCACGGTCCAATGGTCTGCGAGCCACCCCCTTGAACTTGGGTTCCCTGGAGCCCCAGGCGATGGCACTTTTGCCCCATGGGAGTTCAGTAGCGCTCAGCAGTCCCCAGCAGGGCCCTCTCTGCTGTCTGGCCTAGACCTTGGCCCGCTCAGGCCCAGGCAGCCCTGCGTCCCATCCCATGCTCCTGCCATTTGGCTGGAGCTCCAGAACTCGTGAATGCGGTGTTTTGGTTTTGCAGCAAGAAAGGGGGGGGGGAAGAGCGGGTGTGGGGAGGGCCAGGGCGACAGGATGGGAGAGGGAGAGCGAGGAGGAGGGAAAAACCCTCTAGCCGCCCGAGCTGGCCAGTTCCAGGAATGTGTGCTCGGACACCAGTGCCAAAGCAGTGACCCAGGCGAGGCAGCCAGGCCGGGCTCGAGGGCAAGAGCCCGCCTCCTCCCGCAGCAGCCTCTTTGCTGACTCACCGCTGCTCCAGCTGGCAGAAGCCCTTCCCGGGCACGGCTGTTGCTAGGATTCCTGGGAGATGACTGATTGCTTCTCCTTGAGCTTGGGGAAAACATGTTTGTAGACTGCACACAAACACACACATAGACTCCTGTGGGCTTGCACGCCTAGCCTGGCTACCTGCACATGCGTGTGAGTGCGCGTGCGTGCGTGCGCCCAAACGCGTGCACGCACACACAGCATGGCAGCATGCTTCCTGCTCCCAGGGCCAGTGCCCGCACACGCGAGTGTGGACCGGCGCTGACCCCGAGGGGGGCGGAGCCGCGCCGGGTCTGCGCAGGCCGAGGACGTCAGGGTGCGGGGAAGCTGCCAGTGTGTCTGGGCCTGCTTTAATCCGAAGGCACTTTCAGGTTGCCTTGAAACATTCTTGGCCTCCGTCCCTCCTCCCCTCCCTTGGTTTCTCGGTTTCCTTCATTCTGCTGTAATGATCTAATCTTCCCTTCTCCCTCTGCCTGCCAGGTTTTTGATGTCTGGTGTTCCAGGCACTCAGCTGGAAGCTGGAATCCTCTAGAGCTGGATTCCTGGCGTGGACCTGCTGCCCTGAGGGGGCTTCTAGGGAGCCTCAGTGCCTCTGTTCCCCTGGCGAGAGGGGGCTGCCGTGAGGACTCCTGGATGGAAGTGCTGGGCCCTTCTCCGGGCTCTGTGCTGATGGGATTCAGGAAATGTCTGTCGCCCCTGCATCTGGGGTGGGCCCCAGTGCTCAGTGTTCAGCATGCAGCCCCGGACGCCTGGCCTTTGGTTACCAGCACGCTGGCTGCCTTGGTTTCCCCACCCACTGGGCTGCAGTTGGACTCCTTGCTGAGTCTGCCAGGGTTTTACTGCGACACGGCTTGGCAAGAGCTTGGGCACCAGGCGAGGTTGTTTGTCACGGGTTCTTGAGGAGGCGGGGGGGCAGGTGGCCCCATGCCAGTGCAGAGCCCACACTCCTCTCGCCAGCTCTGCCGGGCTCAGGCTCAAGTGTGGCTGCTTTAAACGCACCCACCCCAGGGGCCGGTCCCATGAGCGCTCTCTGCTGTGATTCAGTGGCGGTTGCTAAGGAAGGCCCAGTACCCGGCCCCTGGGGAGACGCTGCGGCCAGCCTGGCTTCAGCAGACTCGGCAAGGCTTGTACCAGCTACGAGAAAAATACCCGTCCGTGCTCAGGGTCCTCAGTCCTAAAATGAAGACAAGGCCGGCTCCATGGTTCCTGCTGGTTTTGACACACAGTGGTATGGGGGTGGGGGTGGAGATTTAGAGAGTAGAGCAAATGACAAAAATAAAAATGAGCTGCACAAAGAGACAACTCTTTGTGTGGATGTCAACAGCCTCATGTAAGATCCTAACTGCAGGAACTCTCTAGAATGCCTATTTTGTATACTGCCACAAGAGTCCTGCAAAGAGTCAACAATCCCAAGGCATAAGAACGTGCAGCAGCTTCGTGTTCTGCACACACCAGCCTCCCTGCTTGGGACGCATCGGTCTGCTGCCCAGCACTCTGGCTCCATCCATGCCCCCGACACCAGCCACAGGACAAAGCCGCACGGACAGCTGTTCCCCTGTCCTCATTTTCACCGGGAGGTGGCTAGACCTTCTGCATGAGTTGCCTGCTGGTCAGGTTTGGGGATTACAAGGTAAATCAGTAAAAAAAGGAAGCCCAGGGCGATGGTCTCTGGGTCCCAGCACTGTGTCTGAGTGGAAGCAGGCTTGCCGGAATCCTGCTGGCCAGCTTGCGAGCGGAGAATCGGCAGGGCGAGGCATCTTGATTCAGCTTTTCCTCCATGCCAGGCACCCCCCTCAATTTGTTACATTTATCCATCCATCTCATCTTCACAACAGCCCCGTGGGGGCGGCAGGGTCATCATCCCTGTTTCCGAGCTGGGGAAGCCGAGGGTGCGGTGCTGTTCAGAGGTATCTAGGAAGTCGCAGGGCCAGGATTCCAGTCACAGCAATTTGTCTCCAGAGCCCAGCCCTTAGCCACCTCCCTTCATTGTCTCCACGGATTGTTATGCTCCAGCCTGGCCCAGGTGACACCACGAGTCACCACCTTCCCCACTATTACCACAGTCAGAAGACTTGTGTCCCTGCCGAGGGCTCGACTGTGACGAGCGCCCGTGGGAACAGGGTGTTTCCTGGGGTCTCCCTGATATCGCTGGCTCCGTGAAGTTTCCAGCCGGTGATTCATTTGTATTTGTGCATTGATGAATAAAGGAAAGACACCGGATGATTTGTGCTAAGGAACTTCGGCGTGAGATGCACCCACCGTCTCCCTGATACCGTCAGGGAGACAAGCCATCACCCAGACCAAACCCACAACATCCTGTGTGAGCCCACTCCTCCCTCGGCGGTCCCACTCCCTTCTGCCAACGCCCGTGAAAGCTATACCCGCACCCCTGGCTTTTCTTGTGTCCCTGTCCGTGCCCTCCTCTCCTTTTCCATCCCCTACATGGAGCTGTGCACCTCCTCACTGAACTACTGCATTTTCTCTGCCCCTTGACCCCTTTTGATTTTCCTCTCTGGGGAAGAGCCTGACGGAGCCGTCCGAGGGGCCGTTGGCGAGAGAAGGACTCGGCGGCGGAGCTGGGGAGGCTGGGCTCCCAGCGCCACCTCATTTGGCCTCTCTCCCCTGGGGCCCAGCTAGCGCCAGATGGGCCAGAACCGTACCTGGACCTCTGGGTGCTGTAGGGTGAGCCCTCCTCCGTCCTCAGTTGGGGTGGGCCTGAGGAGAGTCCTTCCACTGCCAAGCCCAGGGTCTCCTGTGCGTGGAGCCGCAGGCTTCAGGCCTAGAACAGGTGGGTTCCCTCCCTGGGCCTGAGGAGGATGGGAAGGAAGCCAGTGTTCAGTGCCTGCTGGTTTCTGGGCTCAGGTTAGGCTGGGAATGACCAGTGTGAATCTCCTAGTCCTGCCTGACCTTGAACCAACTTTGCTGGTGAGGGGCTGGGTCTGTGCCGTCTGGAGCTGATGAGATGCCTCCTGGGTCAGCGAGCATGGTGGGTCTACTCAGCCCGCTGACGGTGTCTGTGGATGGGGCTAGGGCTTGCCCAGGGCAGGGCCCCAGGAAGCTGAGCGGAGCTCCTGCAGAGGGGCATGGTAAGGGGGTGGGGCCCCTCTGGTCCCACCCTGTGGCATGCTGGGATAAAAAAGCAAGGCTCAGCAGACAGGCCAGGAATTGTTCTTCCACCTTATTTCCTGCCATGGATGGAGACCTTCGCTGTCCCTAAGCTTGTAGACCATGGCATTGGCCTTCACAGGGGTGCTTCTGCTGGCCTTGAGGCGGGGGCGAGAGAGCCACTGCTAGGGGGAGAGGCCTCCTTCCTTTGCTTCCCAGTCCTCAGGGTCTGTACGGGAAAAGCCTCAGCCCTTATCCTGCTGGCTACACAGCGACACCTGGTGGGCCTTGGGTGTGGTCACAAGCAGATGCCAGAAGCCCCTTGCAGGCCAAAGCCTTGGTTCCAGCATCCCACGGGGCATGTGAGCCAGGCGACCAAGCTGCTGGGCTGCTGTCCCAGTCCAGTCCCCTAGGGGGCTAAACCCCATGACTACCCCCAGCCCAAAGTCCTGGGTACTGGGGACCACTGGAGACAAGGAGATGGACCTCGGAAGGATTCAATGCCCCGTCACGCAAGGACTTTGGGGGGCCCGGCTAGGTCGTGAGACCACGATGCTTGGTCACTAGGGTTGGATGAGGTTTGGCTGGATGAGAAGGGTCGAGGGCCTGGGATGGGCCCTCAACTCCAGTGCCCTGGGATGATTGGGTATAGAGCAGATTTTGCTATTCTCCTCAGGGCTGAGTCAGGATCCGTGCCAGGCTCTGACCTGGGCTTACACACCCTACCCGGACACACTGGGTGAACCGATTCTGCACAATTCCCCCGACGGCACCACCCACACGGGGACCCGAACCTCTGTGTTTTGAGAACCAGAGAATGAACAGGAAGGGTTTTGAGCAGCCTTGTCTCCCACTTCTCATTTCTCACAACATGACTTAGGCAAGGTCACCCAGCTGAACGGCAAACAGCCTTGGAGGGCACACAGGGACAGTCACTTCCAGGGACTGTGTGAAGGGGGGGACCCGAGTTCATTCCACGGCGTCTAGATGCTGAGCTGAAAGGCCATGGGCGTCCTTGCTGCAGATTCTCACAGGTGATGGTGTGCAGTATTTTCCTTATCCCTTTCCTCAGTTTCTCAGCGTGGAGGGCTGCTGGATTTGAACTGTGGGGCTGGGATTCAGTTTTACGGTATTACTGTGGGACCTTGGTTCCCTAACTTCTCTGTGCCTCAGTTTCTTCATCTGTATAATGGCTACAACACCACCTACTTCACAGGGTGGCTATGAGGATTCGGTGAGCTAAGGCATGGCAAGGGCTTTGAACAGTACCTGGCACAGGGTGACAGCTGGGAACTGCTGGCTGAGAATGATTTCCCTGCCCCTACAGGAAGGAGCACACGCGGCCTTCCTGGGGGGTGGAGGGGAGTGCGTCGTGGTGAGCTCAGGCTATCCTAACAAAACCCCATGGACAGGGTGACTTAAACAACAGGTCATTTATGTTCTCACGGTTCTGGAGGGTGCAAGTCCAAGATCGGGGCGCCAACATGGTCAGGGTCTAGTGAGGGCCCTCTTCCTGGTGTGCCCACAGCTGCCCTCCAGCTGTGTGCTCACGTGTCCTCCATGTTCTTGGAGAGAGAGCTCTCTCTCTTTCCCTCTTTTTATAAGGACATCAGGCCTATTGGTCAGGACTCTGCCCTTATGACCTCACTTAACCTTCGTCACCTCCTAAAGACTCTCTATAGATACAGTCGCTTTGGGGGTTAGGGTGTCAGAGTATGACTTTGGGGAGGACACAATTCAGTCTATAGCAGAGTGCAACACGGCTCTAAGAACCCAGATGCTGCAGGTGTACCAAGCAGTGACATGAAGACCCAGGCCCTTCTTGGCCCTGTGGCTGGGGCTGGCTCCCCCTGTCAGCGGCTTGAGGCGGTAGAAAGGATAATTCCAACCTGCCGGGCATCACCCTGGCCTGGTGGGCTATTCTAAGCCCCAGGCTCCTGTAATCCCAGGGCCAGGGAACACAGACCTCCCATGATGGGGTCGAGGATGAATGTAGAACCCATGCTGACGTATACCACACCCCCGAGGACCCCTGCTCCCCATCTCTCCGACCTTGCTGGAGGCCGTGTATTATAGATTCCACAGGCCTGTTTCCTGGGGTGCTATGTCCTGGGGCCAAGGACATCCTTTTTCAAGGCTGCTGTCAAATTTGAGCTTGAAAACTGTGCATGGTGGTGTTGGCCATGGATTAGGTTAGGAGAGCTCCCCTCCAAGGCTGAGGCTAAGAGACTGTCAAAGCTCATGTCAGGTGAGATATGCCAGGGGGTTTGGGGTTTGCTGCCCCAGGCTGGAGGTATAAACTGGCAGATTCTACCCCTCCATGTGCTCAATACCCCCTCTCATAGTCCTACCACTGAAAGGTTATACTAGTTAGAACTCTCTCAGTTGTAAGTTACAGAATTCCAAATCAGACTAGCAAAAAGGGAAATGATTAACATAGCTGGGCATCACCTTCAGGCATAGTTTGATCCAGGGGTTCAAACAATGTCATCAGGGATTTCTCTCTCTCTCTCTCGGCTCTCAGCTTTGTCTCACTCTGTACTGGCTTTATTCTGCACATGGGCTTTCTTCCTGTGTCAGGAAGGTGACAGCCAGTAGACTTCGATTCACATTTTTCCAGCTTAATAAGTCTCTAGAAACATCACTTCTGTCTTTCATATTCCAGGAAAATCTCTTAACTGACTTGCTTGGGAGCATGTCCGTTAATGAACCATCAATATAGGGTCCTCTGACCGGGTGGCCTGGGTTGCTTTCTGACCCCTACATTCCTGGAAGTCGGGGGAGGGCATCATGATTGACAGCCACATCAGCACCACCTGGAGGAAGGGGGAGTTGAATATGCAAAGCCATGGCTGTTATTCTCCGAGGGACTTGCCCAGGGGTCTTTCATCTTCAAATCAAAATGTCAGTGCAGGAGTGTTAAAACTTATCAAGTCCACCCTGGCTCACCTTACAAAGGAGAGAGCTGGGGCCAAGGTAAATGCCTTGCTCAAAGTCATCCTGTGTTCTGCAGAGGCATGACATCATTCCTGGCTCCATCTCTAATTATTCCAGTCAAGAGCCAAGTGCAGTGGCCAAAGGGGTTGTCTGAGAATCCCCTCTTCCCCTAGAGGCTTAGTGGGGAGCCAGGGGGTGAGGAGGGTAGGGCCAGGGGCTCCTTACGGATCAGCCCAAGGCATTTGTCTCCCTGACTCCTCAGACTTCTCAGGATTATAGGTCAGGAGTCCCTCCACCCCAAGGAGACTGCCTCTGGCTGTCAGGATCCGAGAAGGTGGGGCTGGGAAGCTGGCTAAGAATGGGGGGAGATTACAAAACAGAGAGGTGGGTCTCTGCATGTGGGAGTGAGTCATCTGAGGGTCTGAAAGACAGGCTAACCTAGGGGGTGGAGGCGGCTTGGAAAAGCCTGGTGAATTCTGATCAACATGGGACCCTCAAGTAGAGACATTTTCAGGTGCCCCACCTTAATCAGGGGTCCTCACCCAGGGCAGGACGTGAAGGCAGCTTCTTCCTGGGCACGTGGCCACCCAAACCTGCTTGCAAATGTCCTCCATATGACCCCCCACCTACTGCTGTACCCCCGTCATCCACATCCGTCCCCAGAGAACACTGCCCAGAGAACGCTTTTCTCTAGCTCTCCTACCCGTATCTCTGGCCTGGCTCAGGTTTCGTCTTCTCTAGGATCCTACCTTGCTCGCTCGAACCCAGTGGCTCTCAACTTCGGTTTTGCTCCCCAGGGGACTTTTGACAACCTCTGGAGACATTTGGGCTGTCACGACCGGCAGGGGAGTGGGAAGAGGCCAGAGCTGCTGCTGTACGCCTTACACGTCACAGAACAGCTCCCACAGCAAAGAAGCATCCAGCCCATCAGAGGAATCGAGCTGAGGTTGAAAAGCCCTGCAGGCTAGAGCGCTGGGCCCAGTTGCTGCCCACTTGGCTCCAGTCCCCTCAGGCCCAGCCTCCGCCCCCAGGAAAGCCAGTCGGCTCTGGTTCAAATCCCAGCTCCCCTGCTCACTGGCTGTGCAAACTTGGGCAAGTAACTCAAGCTCCAGGCCTTTGTTTCTCACCTGTAAAATGGGGCTAATGATAGTACCTACCTCAGAGTGTCCTAAAGATTA